TTCCTAGCTTTTCCTAGCTCGTCACAGAAGAAATCCTCGATTTTTTTAACCAATCTCAACCCTTCTTTCGTCTCACTAAGTTTTCGCTATTTGGAAAACTTGTGTTGCTTCATGGTGAGCGTTCGAAATGCTCTCTAGTACGCGAAATATCTCCGTTCGATAACTAAGCTCACGATCCAATCAAGAAATTTATTCCTTCTGCGCCGTTGCAAGAGACTTCTTCCAAATCCCTCAAAACGCTTCCAGAATGAATCACCTCGACGGCCTGAAGAAGCGCTGATACACTCGGCATGGTTCGTTCCGTTATGATATCGCCGTGTAAGAGTAACAGGTAAATTGGTATGGTATATACCTTGGACCTCCACTTGAATCCTTAGCTCTTCAACATCCACTGAGCCGGCGTGCAGAGGAACCCATGAAGCCTGAAGATCTGCCTTTTCGGGATTTTGAGTTTTGAGAAGTAACCCATACATCATACCCAGGTCACCCCAATTGCAGGATGAAGAAATCTTGTACTACGAGAAATACAGTCCAGGAACCTGCTTTCCAATAACTCCATCAAGGGAATTTCCCAAGCTGTTCCAGTCGGTAATAATTACTGTAAATCTCTTGGAACTCATCATTAAGACGTGACGGACAACGTGCGCCACATGGTGGCGCACGACTATTTTTTGTTTTTGTATGTTTCTAATAATCTAATATACCCATATATACTCTCAGCAATGTGGAATAACATACCTTCAAAAAGCGAGAAAGTGTCGGGTGCAGACCATGCACCACAAGTGACGACGGCCTTCACAAAATGTTAATTTTCTGCCAATGAAATGATTAGCCTGTTGCAGTTGTATTCTATCGATTGTCACTAATTATCATTTACCAGAAATCAGCTATCACTATGAACAACTTCTAACCAGATTTACTTGGAGGCCGTCGTCAGTTGTGGTGTTTGGTCTGCACCCGACACTTTCTCGCTTTTTGAAGGGGAGGTTATATTACCAGGACCTGAACGGCTGGATTTTCAACAAACTTCTAATAAACTTCATATACACTTTGTTTCATTTTCCAACTTTTTCTAGTTGATGAATAGCACGCCCATGGTCCACTCCTCCTAAAAGAACCTCTTCACGGTTGTTGTCGCACAGTTCGAATATGTCACCTGCAGCTTGCATTCATCGCTCGCACCTAGTTTTAGAGCGCGGAGAGGCGAGTTACAAAGTTGTCATCAATGCAAATCTTTGCTCGGCTCGGAAGATTGACGACGGAAATTGACGCTTTAGCCTCGTTTCAAGCCGCTGTCTCCTTCAAACCTACAAATCTTTCCGCGTTGTGCGGTGCGGTGTGTGCACATGGTAGCCTCGCGCGAAAAAACGAAGCAAAGTTTTCGGTTGATGATAACTTTGTAACGACAAGGTTTTCTGCACGAGTGCCACCATGTGGCTCACGTGTTAGATGTTGGCTACATATTCTGCTGATGACAGGGACAGTGGAGAAGTTGCTGCTATTGCTTGTGGTAGACATGAAGGGAATACCTAGATACAGGAACTTCATGTTCATGCGTGGCCATCTTGGGCGAGGGTGTCACTCTGACAATGCGCGTGAAGTGGTGAATTTTACGCTCGTGCCCTGTTTTTTTTTTCTGCTTTCGTCTGAGTTTTAGGCGAACGACCATTTTTCAGTCCTTGTATCTTATCCGAGAATTTTTATTTTCCTTTTTGGCTTCACGAAGGCCTAATGAGGTCCAGAAGAGCTTTGGAGACCCTTAGTAACTGTCCACTTTTAAAGAGGATTTGTGAATTAGGAAAATCTACTAGAATCAAAGGTTAGAGGTTGTAAGTGGTGCCTGGTGAATGGTTAAGAAACCACCATGAGAGAACGGCCCAGAACCCGAGAAAAGAGGACTTCTTTCTTCCACCTACTTACTTTTCCGCATCGATGTGACTCTCATTAGCACTGCCATCTTCGTCAAACGCTCCCCCTGCTTAAACTTACTTGCTAGACTGGCTCGTATGGGCGTTCGCGCTGGTAGGCAACTGGAGGGCGGGGGCGTGTTGGCAATCGTGTCTCATTGGTGTGCGCTGCTTTTTCACTAGGTGAGTTTCCACTTTTCGACTTCCTTGTCGTGGGATCCTCTTTTGATCCAACCGCCTCCCGGACCTTTATTTCTGAGGACCTTGGAATTTTCTGTACCGATGTTGCGAGGGATCTAAAACTGTCATGACATAATAAAAGATTCATTCAATAGTATTCCTCCGTTAAGATATGAGCAAACGATCGAACATAATGAAAGGTCGGAAACGTTTGATAGCTGATAGACCAATGATGTAAGGGCAGTGTTTCTGCAGTTAGTATAGACGGCTGCTGAATCTGAAATTCTATTTAGTTAGTCAAATTTCTTCCTCAGTCAATAAAATGGCAGAAAAAAACAGTTTCCATCATTTAAAAAATTCTCTCTGACTGCTTTAACCGGTATCCTAAAGGGAAATAATTGCCTTTGGCTCATCTACCTAGGCATATAAAAACAAATAATTGAATAAAAGGGGTCATCTCTTCAAATTCCCAAAAATCCACCTAAATTTAGTGTTCTCATCATTTCACACATGAGCTGAGTAATTGCTGCTTCGGTGAGCCTGAAGTCACACTTTTATATCATGGGATTATTTAACGAGAACATTAGAAATTTATGACTGATGATCCTTTCTATACTTCGCGAAGAAGAGCAAAGCGTTCGAGTTCAGACCACACCCACATGTGACCGACGGGTTGTTTTTGGCCGAATAAAGCGTTCTTTTATCGCCGCCGGAAATACTTGTGTATGCGTGCTTTGCCCGAAATAGAGGGTTGGAATCTTCGACGTAATTTTTCAATTTTTTGGTCTATGTACTGTACGAGTAATGTATGTCTTGCGGAAGGCTAAATTCGAAATATAGATTGAATATGGGGTCTGGTATGGTTTGGGTCAGAAAGCTGATTTAAGTACTAACATAGTTTTACTATTCGAGAACTTCGATGCTGCCATGTTCCACTTACCTGTTATATCTGTTGGTGTAGGTGTAATTTCCACGACTCAGCGACGATGACAGATTCAATTCCTTGTCTCTTCGAGAGGCCCACGTGGCAGGGGATAGCCAGTACTGAAAAAAGTTTCGAGTTAGAGCGAGATGGAAAAGCTCTGTCTTTTGAAGGAATGTAGGGTAGAGGGTTTCCAAATTCCGGTTAAGGAGATTTTCATATGGTATTATAATTGAAAACCTCGCCCAATATTTCGGTGCATAGTTCGCTCGCTATGAGACAAAAAGACATCAAAGGAATCCTCCCCGGAACAATCTTACATCCTCTCAGAATAGATGATTGGATGCCACCTCGGGGCATCACAAAGGAACAAAATACAAAGCTTCACACCGATGATTCGGGCTTCCGAAGGGAGAACACTTGTGAGTACCAACATCTATGGGACAGGCGAAAAGGTAGTACGCGCGGCGCCCTTATGGTGGTGGTCAGGTAAAAAAGATCTGTACTGTTGCTGGAGCGTCCTCCTTGCCAGCGACGCATGAGGTCTAATAAAAACCTTCAGGATTTGTAAATAGGGCCAAACACATCAATAGAACTAGAGATTACAGTAACAAGTCGTGTGAGATGTTAAATGGAGCATGCGTTAAAAGCCGTCAAAAGAACATTGCTATAGTGATGAGCACACTGTGAACCAAGTTAGAAGGCATTTCCGGCCGCAGCAGTTGTACAGGGAATGGCCACGGAATTTTAACCGAGTGTAACCAATATTTCCGGTTTTTCGAACTCAAAGCAAACGCACTTTTTGTTTTTGACTTGTTTTCATTTGTTAACTGGCTGTTTTTGGCCGCAGTTCGCCTTGCAAATGCTTCACATGAATGCTGGGTTGTTAACAAAACTTCGCCCCAGACGGGACTTTCGAATTTTCGAACTTCGTCCCGTCTGGGACAAAAGTTTTGTTCACAACCCAGTTGTGAAACAGTCGCAATTTTCGTTGTTGTTCCGCTCTTGGTTAACGATAGGCCTCAAGCTAGTGATTTAGGTGAGATAAAAGAATGGTTTTATATCGGAGGATTCCTTCAAGAAAGAAAAAATCGGGAAGGACAGATTGAGCCCTGCACAGATATGAGCTCTTTGATAGTCAGTACAATACAATCAAACAAATGAATTTGAGAGAAAAATTGATAAGAGATTAATTACCTTTGACAGGGTCCCAACAGTCATGCATCTCTTCTTATACATATCGACGGCGTCGTCAACTGGCATGTACCTCAAGAAGGAATAATTCAATCTGATAAGTAATCACTTCATTTGATCCCTCAAAAATGAAATGCTCTGGATATTTTCAGAGAATAGTATGAGTTCCCGAATCGAGCTGTTTCTATAACTTCAATTCATCCAGATTTGTCAATGCATAGAAAGCCTGTCAGGTGGGAACATGCTAAAGAGGGCATCGGTATCCCACAACTGAATCTATTTAGGCAATAAATCCCTCCAATGCTTGAGGAGCTATGTATTATACATACTTGGTGCGCCGTTCAACTTATGCTCGTCTTCAAAATACCCTTGTCAATTCAGGGGAGAGAATCCGTTAATCATCTCGTGGCACGGTGTATTTCTTCTGGTCGATATGGGTTGTAGATGTTCATTTAGTAAAGAATTAGATACAAAATTGTGTTAGCAGCATTACAAAGGGAGTTCGTGTTCGTTCAATAGCCAACATCGTATAGTCGTGAAAATCGATTTTCGTTCCATCACCTACATGATGCTGCCGTCCACCAACCGTCTATTTTTTTCGCTGTTAACACAACAAAACAGCCCGGCCTTGCTGCAGCTCACATCGCTGGCGTTGAATTTCGGCGGGGCTCACACCATCACTAAAGAAGTGTTATTTCGCGGAAAGCTGGCTGACGTATCACGGCGCCCACGCAATCACCGCATGGGAATCAGTGAGTGAAAAGCGAAAGAAATCCCAGATCAATAGATTTTTTAAAAGGGTAGCAAGAAAGAGGAAAAAATCAAGATTATTGTTATTCATCGGATGTTTTGAGGGTCATCGTTGTTCGGTCGTTCATTGGCTGCATCAGTACTGACCAGAACGCCACCACTACACAATGTTGGAGTACAAATGAGTACACCGCATTTTACTGACAGGTACATATTCAGAACTACAGTACGAATATTTTGACTAAATGCCTGCGGTCGGCATCCATTACGAGCTTCTACCCAACTCTATACTGCTTCAGGTATCCCTATGTGCGTTATAGCTACGGAAATACGGACACCTCCTTAGGCATCGCTACTCAATCCGAGTCTGTGAGTGGATTTCTTTCGAAATTTCCTGATTTCCTCTTTCGGAAGTCTTATTTAATCGTGAACTTTACGTTACAGTATTTTGACATTATATTAGTGAAAAAAATATATCGGAGAAAGCTTTTTCCTTTCTTGTTATTTTTCAAGGCACAAAGTAGGCCGCGAAAAAATTCGAATCGAACAACTGCTAAGAGACAAACTAATAGTAACCGCTTACGAAGAGCTGATGGCTTTCCCTATTTGATATCCAGATAAGAATTATTTACTTGAAACGCTACTCACTGAAATTCCAACTAACCATCTGGCAGACAATCCCCTCTTATTTTGGTGAGTCCCAGTAGAATTTTGACAAAATGTTATCAAAGTATTTAGTAACGGTCTTCATTCGATAATGTTTTCTTGAGCTGAAGGACTCAAGGTCGCAATTTGGAAAAGTGCTAATAGAGCAAGCTGAGAACCAGTCTGACAACTGAGCACATCTGTAGGGGCAACATTTTATTTATGTAGCAGTTTTTTGGCTAGAGCCTCAGCCCTTTTGTACCTCAAGAGCCCACTGCTTAGCATTTGAAGCTTAACCGTGTTCCGTTTGAGAACTTGTCAGTTGTCCATCCACACTGCCCAATTTTACTCAAATCTGCAGTCGCTCACTCGCAATTTTCTGAACAAAAACTTTGGGCGGTGCACGTTTGCGAAATCTTGATTTAACCCGAGTACTCGAAATAGCCCTCGCTATCTCACAACCTCTTGCGTCCACAAAGGAACGCCAACTCTTTGAGCTAAGTGGTACGAAAAGTAAACAGAAATTCGATCAACCATTAACTTCCTGGGTGGAGAAAAAAGATCTCAAGCAAAAAGCTATATCATTGATCCCGGCATCTGCGATTACTCTGATTGTGAGTGTAAAGCGTTCCTTGTCGATCAATCACCTCGTGAACTGGTTGGGCGTCCATATGCCTCTTGAACGCTGACTCAACCAAAAACGTATCTAGCCTGAATTGATGGACCTATACGATTTCTTTTGTCATTAGTTCCTGGTTAGCAGGCACAACAAGATCAAGTTGTAAGGATAGAACCTCCTCGAGCACATGAAGAAGCATGGGATCGCGTGGTCGGACTCATGCTGAAAACAGCAGCTACCCATCAGCGCTAGGCTGCGTTTAAATGTTTCATTCAATCTCAGAGGGATGTTTGAATACAGCTTCATTCAATGGCGGCTAATATGAGCCATAAGCCAGCTAATATGAAAGTTAGTTTCATGCTCGCAAACTTCTGGTATCAGCTTCCTGACCCTCAAAAAAACATTGTCCTCGGCGAGTCTAGATCTCGCCTCTGACCTTGTCCTGTTATAGTGCGCCACTTGCTAACACATTGACTCGACATATTATATCACTAGTATAGATATCACTAGACTCGCCATCCAGGTTTGATTCAGAAGCCGACGAACGCGATCTGAACATCATTCACCTCAGCCGCTTTGCAGCGCCCTTATGTGGCGACGAGAGTTCTCCATCCCGCAGCAGGTCTCTGGAACGCGAAAATCCCACGGAACCAGCTCCACTATCCTTCTTGTCCACTGTCATTACTTCCTTCCATAGCGGCCTATATGGCGCTTGTCATGTACTTCACAGAGAGGCGGGACATTCCGCGTAAGTCAGAGCTATGCAGTCCTGTCGTAATCGAGTGAACTGAGTGAACTTCATAGATAAAAATTAGGCAGTGGGGCCACCTGCAGCTCAATATCAACTGTAATGTGATAGTATGAACAAGGGCCTGCACACCGCAGTAACAATTTTCTTTGGCTCATACCAACTGCGACGACTGTACCTTCGCAGAGACCCTAACGACACAGTTTTATTTATTTAATATTTATACTCGAGGGCGGAAGTGGTGTAGTGACAAGTGGCGCGCTTACCACGCGAGCGGTCCGGGGATCAAATCCTGGGTCGTGAGTCGCCCGGCCAACCAAGCCTTCCATCCCTCCGGGGTCGGTTAATTGGTACCAGACTTGTCTGGGAGGATAAAAACACTGACTTGTACATCGGCTGGCCCCCGCAAGTCATTGTATAGGCCACATCGCATTCAAACGCCACTACGAATGTACAAATGGAAGTAGAATGCGTGCCGCATCCCAAAAGGGATTGATCAACGGCAAATGCTTTATCCTTTATCCTTATGGCTGCGGCGACGGCC